ACCAGGCTGGTCTTGAACTCACAGAGATCCACCTGCCTCTGCCTCCTGAGTGCTGGGTTTAAAGGTGTGTACCACCACTGCCTGGCTTGGAATGGATTTTGATTTATTGATTCAAATTGAAGGTCAATTTTGCTTATGTATATTTCTACTCTTGTTTTCATATTGTGTTTATATAACTTCTAAAATATAATGTATAATTGAATGCAATTATAGATAGTCTATAATAGCCAAAACATAGTTAGGTTTTCTAAATATAGAGAGATATATTTCAAATGGATAGGTATTCTTCAAAACTTTTCAAAGTCCTACAGAATATGACATTTAAAATGGGTTATTATGGTTTTTCATGACAATAAGACACAACTGCTCCTGATAACACCAATTATGTCAGAGGAAGATGGGCGTTGAAGAAACTCTTTGTGGAGTTTGCCTTCAACATGGCAGGAATAGCCATTTGGAAAAGAAACTACTCTTGCTTGGATTGCTTGACGGCACACTGTCCAAACTGGATAAGCAGGTTACAAAAAGAAGTGACTGCTGAACTTGCCAAGGGACAAGACCTTCAAAGTTCCTGCTTCATCAAAAAGTCTGCCAGATATTCTGGGCTTATGGGCTGAAGAGGGATGCCTTGGGTGACTATTCAGGCAGTGAGATGTCAGTCAATTGTAGAGTTTCTGAGGTCTTTGATGGAGCTGAAAACAGATACTTACGGTTATGGTTTTCCTTAGTTATGATAAAAAGATAAGTTACATAAAAAACTTTAGACTCACAAAGATAGGTAAGATGATACAATATTTTCTTTAAATATTTTAAATATTGTTGACTGTAGTTTTTGTTTGATAACTGTTTTGTGATATATAATTTTACTACATTAAAGTTAAGACCTTCCTTTTTATTTAGACAGAAAAGAGATGATGGGGGACGTCCTTCCATGTGCTGTGAATACATGTTTCTCTTGTTTGTTGATGAATGAAGCTGTTTCAGCCAATAAAGAAGTAGGTTGCAGCTGGGCGGAAAGTACAGGCAGAACAACCAGATTGGGATAATTCTGGGAAGAGGAATGGAGAGAGTGAGGCTTAAGTGAAAGATGCCATGTAGCTGTCAAGAAAGCAAGAGGCCCAGGCATCACTGGTAAGCCAAGACCAAGTGGAAATACATAGATTAATAGAAATGGGTTAATAATTAGCAGAGAGCTAGCCAGTAAGAAGCCTGAGCCATCGGCCAAGTAGTTTACAATGCATATAAGACTCAGTATGTTTATTTGAAATTAAACAACTGCGGGAATGAGTGAGACAGAAACTTCCGTTTACAGCTCTCATCTTTGGTGTATGTTAATGCTCTGATATATAACGTTTACCATGAGTGGAGAGGAGACGCTGAAATCCTACCCATATACTCACAAGTCAGAACCCAGGGTACAAGTTTTTTCAAAGTAAAGCTTACTCCTTTTTCAGAGCTATAGTACTAGATATATAATCACCAGATTACTCCCTTAGGGGCTGAAGAGATACTCAGTCAGGAGCACTGGCTGCTCTTGCAGAGGACCTGGATTCAGTTCTTAGAACCCACATAATGGCTCACAACCATCTGTAACTCCAGTTTCCAGAGAACTCAAGCCCTTTTCTGACCTCTGCAACCATTGCATACACACATGTATATACATACATGTAGGCAATACCCATGCACATAAAATAAAAAATAAAGGAAAAAATTAAACTTTGTAATGACTCCTAATAACTGATAGCTTTCAACACAAATCCAAAGGACACAGCATCACAATGAATTCAAGAACCCCCCTCCCAGGGTTTCTCTGTGTAGCTTTGGAGCCTATTCTGGCACTCGCTCTGTAGACTAGGCTGGTTTCAAACTCACAGAGATCCTCCTGCCTCTGCCTCCCAAATGCTGGGATTAAAGACGTGCGCCACCATCACCTGGCTGAATTCAAGAACTTAAAATTTTTTTTTTTATTTTATGTATATAAGCATTTTGCCTGCATGTATGTATGTGTACCATGTGCATACCTGCTGCCTGCAAAGGCCAGAAGATGGCATTGGTTCCCGTGGTGAGCTGCCACGTAGATGGTAGGAAACAAACTTGGGTCCTCTATGAGCAGCAAGTGCTCTTAACTGCTGAGCCCTCTCTTCAGCCCCTCAAGTACTTTTAGATGTGTCAGCCTGTATGAATACAGAACTTGAACCACAAATGCTAGGCACTCCTCCTCTAATATCCATATCCAAAGAACATTTAAGTTTATGTCCCATTAACATCATCATTTTTTATACTTTCCTTCAACACACAGGAGGAAATGGCAGTACCTTTGATCTTGCTTCGCAGGTATTTTAGGACTTCTTGAGTTCCTTTCTGAAAGGTGGAGAGAGGCTCACTGTTAGCAAGACACACTTGGAAGTTTTGTGCATCAACAAGTATATCTAAATTTTAAATTAAAAATAAGGTGCTAAATTCTAATAGTACTTACAGCTATAATTTCTCTTCGAATGGTTCTTAGAGGATTTCCTTCTAGTGCCAGGAATTTCAAATGAAGGTTTCCCAAAGAGCAGGGCAGACTATAGAACAGATTGATTTCAGGGAAACATTACAGGTAAGTCTAACTCAATTAAAGGCATGACTATAAAGTAACAAATGACAACAACATATCATGTAATAATCTCAAGGAAGAGGCATGAATAGACCTAAAATATTTCCCTTCAAATGATAAACACACAAAGGGACTGCAAATACATTTCCAGCTTCGTATAAAGCTGCTAAAGGACTTGCACTGTAAAGCATCTGCTCCATCTGCCCAGTGCTCACACAGGGATGCTGACACAACCAGCCATGAGCAGTCTCAGCCCAAGGACAAATCAGACTTCACCCAATTACAGAAGCACACCTCCAAAAAACTAGAGCAAATTCCAGGCTCTCACTGTGTAAGATTCTAAGTCAGTGGTACCTCACAATCTGTTTTTCCTTCCCTGCTTTTCACATGAGTCCAGACCAACCTAGGAAACAGCCACCCAGAGGAAAATGGGCACGAGAAGGCTGGTCATCTACTGACAATCAGCTCCAGCAGCAGTGAGGAGTCCCATGCTACAAAGTATGGAGGGCACAAACAGCTGCTTAAGATCTGCCGGCTAATCCTTTCTAAACATCATGTTCCGTAACTTTTCACCATTCTTTCCATCTCACTCTGCTCTTCTCCAACTCCAACATAGTCAGCCAGCAGCTACTAAAGACATCTCCCCTCACTTCCATCCCCTTCCCCGCAATGCCAAGGCAGCCACATCACAGGCTTCATCACACGGCAGTCAACAAATTGGACAGAGAATTGTGACAAATATTACTGAGCTAAACCGACAGGTCATTTTAAAGCTGGCCACCCACAAACCCCTTTCCAAAGCATCATACTCGCTACCATCAACTGTCTGCTTTAATGGGCTTGCACTCAGGGCAGTGTCTTCATGGTGTGTGGGTGGCTCTGAACCAATTAAAGCTGATTATCTGCCCTAAATCCTTAAGACTTCTTTACTTGGACCCTATTTAGGTTCCCAAAGCTGTGTGTGTACTGTTTCCTCCTGATGTATGGATGATACACTACAACTTTCACATGAAATTAAACATCTTATTTATTTATCTATCTATTTATTTATTCGAAGGGGAAAGTGTGAACTCAGACCTCCAGGGTCATGACATCCCGAGTGCCACTGCACCTCTGTGATCATGGTATCTCCCCTGTCAGGCAAGCATACCATCCTAGTTTACAGATCAGCTGCTAGAACCCAGGGCTGCCTGGTGCTGAGCATGATCACACTCTTGGTTGTGTATGCACCAGGCAGCTAACTTGCTTCACTCTAATCCTGGTCCTGTCTAAGTTTTTTAACCATAAATCCTTTTGTCACCCAAGTACTTATGTTTCTCTCAATTCCATTTTCATCATCCAAGCCCAACAGATACACATAAAGCATTTGTTCTGTCAAAGCATGGATAATAAGCATCTGGAGATGGAGCCATGCACAAAAAAGATTCAAAACAGCCCTTAAGAGTTCTGAAATGTGCCAGGTGATAGTGGCACATGCCTCTAATGCCAGCACTTGGGAGTCAGAGGCAGGTGGATCTCTGGGAGTTTAAGGCCAGCCTGTTCTACAAAGTGAATTCTAGGACACCATGGGCTACACAGGGAAACCCTTCTCAGAAAACCAAAAATGTATTAACTTGGCCACCAAGGAAGAAAACTAATCTTTCTCTGTATACAGTATGAGCTCAATACATAAATAATAGTTTTTTTTTTTTAAAGAACTTACAAAAACGAATTACAATCCAATGCAGAATGAATTCTAATTTCTAGCTATTTAATCTTTAAGCATACCTACTAATGTCATTGTTGCTCAAGTCGAGCCTTTCCAAAGACTGCAGCAGGGCCATTTCCTCAGGAACAGACCGCAGCTTGTTGCCCCTCAGGTCCAGCACAAGGATGGCCTGCAACTGCTGAAGATGCTCTGCCCCTAGCGTTTCGATCTGGTTTTCACCTAGGTGCAGCTCCTATGAAACCAGGTATGAGAAATTTCATTCAGCTTTACACTAATCAATGAAAACAAGTGTGAACATTCTCAGTTTTAAATCACTGAAACACAGAGAAAAGTCAACATTGTAGTTATTATGGTATTTAGATACAACCTATTTTAAAGCTAAAATATGAAGAAAGGAAAACATTTTTCTGACAATCTCAAAATAATTATTGCTCAACCTGGCAGAAACATACTTTACAACACTAAAGCAAAGAAACAGTTTATTAATTACATTTACAGAAATAAAAGTATAAATGTAAATACAATGCTGATAAAAAAATTAGTTTCAAAACAAATGAACCCATTCAAAACTGTTTCCATGGTAACAAGTATATTAGAGAATTACCACAGAAGACCATTACATACACCACCTTCCTAAACGAATCTAAAATCACCAATAAAAATTTACCATAGTGAATGGAATTCCCCAGCACTTTTAAAGTTCACCATGAGTCTATTTAAAAGAAACTTTCCTGACACCAAAAGAGAACTACCAAAAGGAGGCAAAAGATAAATTCTGGAAATGTCACTGCAATTGGGTAAACCTGAAAGGTGGCAACCTAAAGAATGAGGCCTACAGGCTGGAGAGATGGCTGAGCCAAGAAAGGCTAGGCTCACAACCAAAAATATAAGAATGAGGCCTACACCTTCTCTGCTGTGGTGAGGGGCCTCCCACAGTATAGCGCAGCAAAGCACCTCACCTCACTACAAGGCCTTTCTTCAGTTGCAAACTACTCACCACATGAAGTACACAAACCCCTACTCCTGAAAATGATTATTTCTTTTCATTACCAACAAATTATCAGTACTTTTAGTAGTAGACTGAAACTTTGAAAGGCATCAACAAAGAAAAATATCACTCATAGAATACTTATGACCAAAGATTAGCTACTTTTTAAAAACCTCAATTTCATAAACAACTTTTGGAAAACATATACTGGTGTGATAGTACCTTTAGTTGCCTAGAGGAAGGAAATTCAGGTAAAACACGTAATTTATTTCTCCGCAAATAAAGCAATTCCAGTGATTCCATGCTGCCCACATCAGGAGGCACAGTCTCCAGGAGATTGGAGTCACAATCCAAATGCTTTAATCCTGAAATACATATTCAAAGACAATAAAAAATATTTTAACTCAGAAAAATATCAGACCACAATAAACATGTCACAATGAAAACTTCTGAACCTGTTGCTATAGATAGGACAATCAAAAACATGTGTGTGTCCTTGAACTGAGTGAAAACTGATTTTTACATTTAAAGAGAATGGTAATGTTAAAATCAATACTGAATAGTCCAGACTATCTTTGAAATAGTTAAAAACACAGGTACTTCCATAAACTACTCTGAAGTATGTAAGTGGTATGAGCTGCACTGCTCCAATTGCTCCTCTTTAAAAGAGCTTAGTGTAACTAGAGGCATCTAAATATGCATGCATATTTGCTGGGTGAGGAAATGAGATGAGCCTACAGCCAGTAGTGGCTTAGACACATTTGTATGTTTATGCAAGCCTTGGTTTTCTCTATACCCCTTCCCACTCTTTATCTATGTATGCTGCCTCCTCCTTTCCTGTGTCCCATTTTGTGTGTAATGTACATGTATGTGTTTACACAGATACACGTCTGTGCATGTGAAGAACAGATGATTCTGTTCACTATCTTCTATCTTTCCCACCTCGATTTTTGAGACAGAACCTCAATGATTAGACCACTTCCTGTCACCACTTCCCTTGCCCGGAGATTTTATATCTGTGCAGGGGATCCAAACTCAGAACCTCATGTTTGTATGCAAGCATTTTGCCAACTGAGCATCGCCCTAGCTCCAACATGCTTTCCCTAACACATGAGCTAATATGTACAACAAGATCAAACCTTGTAATCCAAGAAAGGCTTTTACTTTTAGTATCTTCATCTCCTGGATATTTCTTCTTCATTCATTTTTGGAGATGGTGTCTGTCCTCCCCACTACTTGGCCTAAGCTGGCCTCAGACCTGGATTCCTAAATGTCTTGCCTCACCCTCCTGACTGCTGAGACTGTGGCCATTCTTGCCGTGTGCCTTTCTTCTTCACAAAAAAGGGTGGGGGTGGGGGTAGTCTTTAAGGACTTAACAAAGGATTCTTTCCATTAACTATATTATAGATCCTTCCAGGTTAAGACTGAAAATGGTTTTCAAAAAATTCATCCTCAACTCTTCAATTTAACTGGAATAAGCAATAGCATTTTGCAACTTATTTTCCTAACTTCAAGCTGTCAATTTTAACACAATCCAAAACTGCGCTGATATGCCTGACATGCCACCTTCAATTCCTTTTCATTTAGTATACGGAGAAGCTAACCACTTTATTTAAAGTCACGGGTGGAGTCAGCTGAGAAGGAGGGGATGGTGAATAAGCACGGAGCAGAATCTTCATCAATTTCCCAGTGTGTACTTTTCCTCTACACCCCATCCACACTTTCATTTTGTCACAGGACTACATGTCTTCTGGTGGTCATTATTTAGGCAGGCCCTAGATATAATGGTCTAGAGAAAATCTTATTAAGTATCATTTGCATTTACAATAGTAAAAAGTTAACTTAATATTTCTCTATAACTGTCTTATTATTTTTCTAAAAGAAAGTTGCATTAACCTTGAATTCATACAGTAATTAATATGGAGATTTACTTTGCATTCTGCTTATTTCTGCTGGCAAACTCTTCAGCTGGTTACTGGAAAGATTGAGTCGCAGCAGACTGGACAGCAAAGCAAAACCAGCAGGCACAGTTGCAAGACGATTATTTGAAAGATCCTTTAAAAAGAGAACAGAATGAATCTATAAATGAGTAGATAGCAGTAAAAAGATACACATGAAAGAAATTTCAGAGTTATGAATGAATTTTAACATGAGAGATAACTTCAGAGGAACAGGTATTTCAATTTCAGCCACGGTCTCATAGACCAGGATTCATTCAAATGCTCCTCTTCAATACCTGCAGGTCTACTAACAAAGTCATGGGAGGAATTAAAACCAGCTGTTACTTCAAAAGAATTTTACATGACAGTGTCTACTAATCCCAAGTCATACCTCTCACTATGCAACCCTCTGCAGTAGAACATGGGATACAAACAAGGTAAGAGAAATATGGAAGTTAAAGGGTTAAGTATGGATAGGGAAGGGACATGGAGAAGCAGAGAGAATGGGGGGGGGGGTTCAACAAAACTAGGGTGTGTGAAAAATCCTTACCAAAACCAAAACAGAACAGAACAAAAACCCAGTACTGTATAAGCAAAGTGGTTAAGAGCTCATACCGTTCTTGCAGAGGACCTGGCTTTGCGTTCCAGTACCATGTTAGGCAGCTCTCAACTACCTATAACTCTAAGTCCAGGTGATCCAATGCCCTCTTTTGGCCCCCACAGACACCCACTTACATACACATACCCATGTAGAGACATACACATATATATAATTCAGCACAGGTGCCTTGCATCGGTAGACAGTGCTGCCTCCAGAAGACATGGGTCATTAAATAAAAATCTCAGTACCAGGCATAGCTTACCTCCCTGTGAGTTATTAGTCAGGGTGGTCTCAAAGGCCCCCAAAGCAATACATGCTATTGTCATTGCTTTTGGCTGTCCATCATAACTAGATGGTAAGACCCTATTGCTGAATACATCATACACTGGTTGTAGGGCAAACATAATCTGGATTGAATAGGAAACTTCCTCCACATTGGCCAGCTTTCAGAATGCCAGAAGGTGCAGCCATTGGGGGCTGAAAGGATACAATGAGCTTACTCGATATTGGACCCTGCATGCTGCAATACTGACCTGCTAGGAAAGATGTACCTACAGTGGTGGCTTGGCTTTTATGAGGGTAACAACAGCTTTATGCTTGGATATGAGGCCTGCTCCATGGACGAGAACTCATGCTGGCATTGTAAACATGGTCAAAAGCCCAAGGCTGTGAGGTAGGGGAACTACCTCATGGTTCTATCATGGTTTTGCCAAATGGCCACACTGTCAACCTGCCTTCTAAATGTTTATAATCATAGGTAAGTGCTACTCTGGACTAGACAAGCTTCTTGCATGGGAGGCAGTTAACATAAACACAACTAGTCTAAGTGCTGAGAAAAATGAGTGCTCAGCCCTGAATCAGACATACACAACATTGGCTCAAAGCTCAGGGGCACTGAGGAAGAAGTGGGTATATTAAATAAATGTAAGAGCTGGAAGATGGGAGGAGTGGCTGTGCCGCGTTCAACTCACAGTGGCTATGGTCACCAGCACAGGATCAAGCCAACAAGATAAGCCAACATTCCAACAGATGGCACTAACTGGACTCTCTGGGTCACACACAGGAAAAAAAGGGAAGGAAATGAAAATGTGGGGGCAGGAGATGGGAGTGTCTGGGAAGTAAAAGTTGGGGGGGGCATGATTAAGACACAATGTATACATGCATAAAAGTTTCCAAGAATAAACAGGATATTCTCAAAAAATAAAATTGGAAGTCAGGTTGAAGGGTATTTGGGAATTCTCTTTACTGTATTTTTACAGTCTTTGCATAATCCCAAAAATTTTTCCAAAATGAACTAATTACTGACAATGAAGAGTTCCTAACAAGGAAATTAAAAATTTCTAAAACCATGTGAAGAACTCAAATTATTTTTATAAAATTCCTTCTAACTTCTAAACAGTATTAAGATAGCCAAATATTTAATTATTATAAGAACACGTGAGGCTGGAGAGATGGCTCAGCAGTTAAGAGCACTTGCTACTCTTGCAAAGGACACAGGTTCTATTCCCAGCACCCACATGGCAGCTCACAACTGACTGTAACTCTAGTTTCTGCAGGTACCAGGCAAACATGCGGTACACAGCCATACATTCAGGCAAAAAACCATATACCTATAACAAATTTTTAAAAACAAATATGATAACTGATCCGTATTTATGCCAAGCCATTCTTTCAACAAATTTTTACTTAGTTCTTTTGGGCTAAGCAAGTTCTACATAATGTCAGGAAATATTAGTTTAAATGATTACAGGTGTTTATATTTTAATCTGTTTTGATGAATTTTCCACATTGATATTTTATTTAATATTGAATCTTTAAGAAAAATTCTCAATTGAAATATCCTTTCATTGTGCAAACAACTTCTGGTAACATATTAAGTAGCAAGAGAAAACTTCGCTTATTACAAGGTATCTTTTTAACTTCCACCTCTAAATGATGATCTTTATTTAAGAAAAACAAAATATAAAACAACTTTTGGAACTGAAGAAACAGCTCAACAGTCAAGAGAGTGAGCTAGCTGCTGTTCGGAGGACCCAATTCAGTTCCCAGCACCCACAACCACCTGTAACTTCAGCTTCAAGGACTCCAACACCTTCTTTCAGGACCTGCATAAATGTGGCACGCACACACACAAAAATTCACACATGAAATAAAAATATACTTAAAAATTTTCCTATAAAGTTAACTTACAAAATTAAAATTTTTACATGAAAATCTCATGGCTCCCTCCTTTCTTTCATTTTACCTATAAATGCCTTTTACTTCCCAAACCTTACTTCCAATTTTAATTTTAAACACAAGCACAAATGACAGATAGACGAAGGTATACATACAGAATAAATACTTAAACACTCAAAGTAACATTTCTATCAGTAAGAAATGAGACTAAAATTATAAATCAGTTTTCTAATACAAGGCAGGACAAGAACAAGAGCCCAGTAAGAAATAGTAAGAACGCATACATGTGGGCTGGAGCCTGTCAGTCAGAGGACTAAACCTTTCAGCTGAAACACCTCATGGCAGATTCTCATCCTGTTGTAAAGGAAAAAAAAGGAATGTGCTTTGGGGGAAAACTGTCATCTTTAAATTTTAATTTTTTTTTAGTTGCATGACTTGGGACAAATTTCCTATTGTTGTATAATCCTCAGTTTCTTACTGTATTAAGGGTCTGACCTACTTAACTTGCCATATATAAAGCCAATAAAAGTCTACGGCTTTTATTCTTAAAATAATTAAAACAATACTGTACTGACTTACGGCTGACTCTAGTTAAGCAAGATGAAACAGGCAGCATGAAAGCTTTGCCAGAAAAGGTGCCAAGCTGAAGACTAAAGTAAGCACTGAAGAGACTGGACATGCAGGGCAGTGGGGCCATTGGGTAACACAGAAAACAGAATATATAATATAGAGAGGCTAGGAAAAAAGAACCGGTGTACTTGAAGACTGCTTTCCTCTATTCTGCTAGGGTATAGACGCCTCTGGGATAGGGACTGGATGGACGGTTAAGAGTGCTGAACGTCCTTGGAGAACACCCACATTTGGTCCCCAGCACCTCCAACTGTCTATAACTCCAGTTACACGCTGGTATCCAGAAGAGAGTGTTAGGTGCTCTGGAACTGAAGTTATGAAGATCTGATGCCCTCTTTCAAGAAGAAAAAGAAAAGAAGAGAAAAGAAAAGAAAAGAAAAGAAAAGAAAAGGAAAGTGTCTGAATAATAAAGTCATGTCCATTGTTTCTGTTCCAAACTCCATGCCTGAAACATTATAACTTAACTTTCATTTGATAACATAGAGAAAGTGTTAGTATTTCAACAATCTAATTAAAATACTTTCTGGTAAGCTACTCACAAAATCTGTCTGTGTCCTAAGATTTGAATCATACATTTATTTCCTCAACCTAGTAAAAATTCTTCCCACCAGCCCCAAATCATGCAGAAATCAGAGTCACCACTTACTAAATCTTCTAAACCAGAAAGGCGCTCAAAGCCTTCAGGTATGCCAGTCAGCTCATTGTGCTGGAGGTGCAGCACCTTCAGGTTTTTTAAACTTGTAATTTCTTCTGGAAGCATGTTCAGTCTGTTATGGCTATTGGGTAAGAAAATAAATATTGAGTGACTTGGTAGACTATATAAGAAACATTTACCAAAGGCATTTTTGTCAACTAACCACGTGGACTCACTGTAACAGTCATATGGTGCTATTTGTTCAAGTGTTTATCAAGATCCACATCTCCCAAATAACGCTCTTCAGCAGCAATCTAAGTCAATGAAGCTATGGTTTGAAAGAAAACCAGCAATGAATCATTTGTAAACTTTTGGTTGCTTGCTTATAATCTGCTTATTTAACATACAATAAGAAAGGGACTAATTGAACTCTTAAATTTTTATATTGTTCCTGAAAATAAGTTTATATACACATTACAATGAAACTATATACATACATATATATGCATATATGTATATTCATATTCTTCAAACATTTATTTATTTTTATTGTTATGCTCCATGTATGTCTGTGTCTGGTGTGCACCAAGGCCAGAAGAGTATTGGCCATTCTGAAACTGGAGTTGTGGATAGATGAGAGCTGCTTTTGGAAATTGAACCCAGATCCTCTAGAAGAGTATGCAATGTTCTTAACTGTTGACCCATATCTGATAGGAAGGTTGGGTTTTAATTTCACATTCAAAACAAAAACTGTTATTTCTATTTTCAGGTCTGGTATATTTGGCAATACTCAATTTGACTCTTTATTTGCTTAGCCTTTTTAGTTGAACTCTTCTAAAGAGACACTCAACCTATTGATTAAAAGTACCAGTAAGGACAATACACTTCCCAGTAATTAAGAGATAAATGAGGCCTTGGTACCTTGGCTTTGTTGGTTAAAGTACCTGTCTATTAAACAGGAGATCCTGGTTTCAAACCCCAGCAGTGCCTTTGTACAGCATAAAATGTAATGTACTTTTCTGTGTTTTAAACTAGAGTTAACCTTTACCAATTGCAAGGCATGGGGGTGCACGCCTGTAATCCCAGTACTGAGGAGGCAGAGGCAGGCAGATCTCTGAGAGTTCGAGGTTCCTCTATAAAGGGAGTCCAGGATAGCCATGGCTGCTACACCCAGAAACCCTGTCTTGGAAAAAAAACAAAAACAAAAACAAAAGAGAAATGCATCCCCAGATGCATCACAGCTGAACTGTTCAATTATGAAATTTACCCTTTCTGATGTTAGTTTACATATAACAGGGGAAAGGCAAATACCAGGAGCTTTATGTTAATTATATTACATCAAAGTAAAACTACATAGAAGAAAAGCCCAAAAGGTGTTTATGAAATATAAACAAATCATTGTGAAGTCTCTGACTACTGAAGGCCACTAAGCTGAAGTCAGGAAACTTGATAGGACCTACTTGAGGAAGGTGGTCAATCTAGCCGTCTACTTTACTTCCTCCATTTCCTTTTTTTTTCTTCCAACTTTTTTATTTGAATTAGAAACAGGATTGTTT